GGCTCGTCCATGTGTCTTCCTCAGATTCTCGCCAAACGTCCAATCTTCGTCCAATCGACCCCGAACTAGTTCCCAAGCCTTCATTCACGTGCTAGGATCTGAAATATCACAAACAAGTACAACCTAGCGTTAAATCGGCCTAAAATGCGGGAATCGACATCTCAAACGGCTCAAGAATAGGGGTAAAAACATGTGCAATCAATGGTCTATCAAAGCCAGATTGTCCTCACGAGATATGCACCTCACTAACGTGGTTAGGTTCTCCTAATAACTGCTGCACCATAAGTTGTTAAGCACCCACTACCGACGATCGGAATTGAATGTTGCTAATTGAGTTTTCAATGGAATTGAGTCAGTCAATGTTAAAGGGTTGCAAGACCTTGAGTGTGGGGTGAATGGTATGATCATTAAAGCACAACTCATCCATTGAGAAAGAAACTACTGATTATCACATCAGTACAAGGATAAATTTCTAGTGTTGATGTTGTGTTCTGGGTGTCGTGCGTCTTGTGTCTTGAGTAAGGTTGTGTCTCTGTGGTATGTGTTGTGTTTCTCCAATTATCGTTCTCTTGTCTGAGTCGTTGCTTAGGGACAAGCAAGTATTGAGTGTGAGGTTGTGATAAATGTCAAAAACATATTGATTTCATGTGCTTAATGAGATTATTACATGATATGTTTTAGACATATATACTTGTTTTAGGTCCAACTAAGCCTGTAATGGTTATAAAACCATTATCATCAAGTGCCAAATATTTTATATATTTCAGGAAAATGAAACGAGAAATTTGCATTGGTTGATAGAATAATTCAAGTGAACTGGATGTATTAATTGGACCTGAACTTACTAAGGAGTTGAACTGGGACTGGACTTTTGCGGGCTGGGCATTCTTTTTGGGCCTGGGGCCTGGGAGGATGGAGGAATTGGAGAGCAGACTGGGAACGCTCCGGAGAAGGGAGAATTTGGGGGATTTTTCTTTGGATTTTTTGGCCCCAAGTCGATTGTCTTCTAGCGCCAGGAAGGAAGGAAAGGGTTTTTGGGGAGGAACTCTTGGACGGATTGGAGAGAGGGAGCGAGCAGTTGGGGAACACAAGCATCTGTCGAGCGGAGTAGCAGAGTGGCGATCGGAGCAAGAAGGAATTGGAGCTAGATTATCTTCCACAAATTCAATATTCTTTTTCTTTTGTTTTATTTTTTGTCATGAACTAAACTCCAATTTTTGAAGGAAACACCATAGGATGTATCTATTTCTATACTTTATGGATTGATTCATATTTCTTTTCTTTTAATCTCTATTATATGGAATTGCTTAATACTTTGTGTTGACTGGCCATCAATGCAATGATTTGTAGTTAATTAGGTTATTAGCAACAGTGAAACCCTAATAAATGAACCTATGTCATTGGACATAGTAACTTATCGAAGCGACAGTGGATTAAATAAGGTGCTATGCAGTCTTAATTGGGATATCGTTCTTCAGGCTAAACAGTTAATTCATTGAGCAACGATAGTAGGATTTGAATTAATTGTTTAGTACGTAGTAATTCCCGACAGGGATAGCTAGCACATTTGTGATATCTTGGCTGTAGAGAGTTGGATTAAACTGATTAGAATATTTAAATTAATTTGGACAGGATATGAAGTGATATCTGGTGTTTCTCCCTGAGCTTTCACCGTTGATTTCTCTCGACAGTTTTCATTTGCTTAATTTGTTTAGTTTATTTTGCTTTTAGAAATTAGTCACATTAAACTATTTTCACCTATAGTTTGCTACATAGAATCGATATAATATAAGGTCGATACGCGGATTTCCAGTTTACTACGAGATAGGAAATTGACATATACGCTTTTGCCCTATCACGCGCCCAGCTCATGGTCCCAGTTCACGACCATGAACTAATGGCGGGGACCGTGAACTCAGTTCGAAACGCACCGCTTCACTTAACTGGTTCGCGGTCCATGGCATCAGTTCATGGTCTTACGACCGTGAACTGACTCAACGTCAGTAAACTCTCTGGAAGCTCGCTAGTTCACAGTTTGTGGCTCCAGTTCACGGTCCTCATGACCGTGAACTCACTGTTTGGACTGTGAACTGCGGTTGCTACCTCCTCTTTGCCCGATCCTCTCGCCTTTTCTTCCAACTTTTGACTCCGGGGTTGGTTACACCTGTTAGACTCTGAAACACATTGAAACACAATAAACCTAGCGTAAAACCACCCTTTTAGGATCTCAAATGCCACAAACGCCAAAAAGAAACGGTGATAAAAGGTGTACATATAGGCCCCAATCACCGACCAACCCAAGTTAGATATTCCTCATACCGAGCAAGCCGGGGACACCTCATATCAATCATTTGTAGGCATCCCTTTAGAATACTATAAGTATATATGCATGGAAAACACAAATGGTCTCGGTTTTCCTTGCTAGTAGAACATAGCAAACACTTGTCATCCTAAATTTCCCCCTGCTTTTCAACATATCCAAAGTAGTGATTTTGTTCCGAACCACAAGCCTGCTCAATCCGTTTTCCTTTGTCTTCAATGTATGTGATAAAACAAAAGTTTAGCATTGAGTCAGGTTTGTTTTAGTTGGCTAAGGAAGGTGATTGTGAATGGGTATCGATATTGAATGGGTTTCTTATGCACTAAGTTGTTGGGGTATTTGTTTATATCAAAATTTTACTTGTACCACATTGGTTAAATATAAGAGATCAAATTGTTTTATAACGCTAACTTAATTATAGCAATTAATCAATCAAAAAAAAAATTATAGCAATTAAAATCGATTAAGATGGGCTACATGGATTGGGTTTTTGGGCCAATAACCCCATGTCATCATGAGCGCCACTCTCAAGCGCCACATTAAAAAAATTGGCTAAGTGTTGGAGCACCCCCTCTCCCCAACCAATGGTGTGGTCAAGGGATCATCAATACATAACCCCCATATAGTGTGGTCAATGGGGGTATCACACACCCCCTAGTGCCGCACTAGAGGGTGATGTGGGGTAAAATTTGACTAAGTTTAAGAAATGTTGGCAAGGTGTGTGATGCAGTATACCCATTGGGATGTGAGATATGACCAAAATTTGGCTAAGTATATCACTCTCGTAGGTTTTTACCATCTCGAAAAATATGAGGTTCTACTCAAGCTAAGGAGAAGCTATCAAGCATAGGAGTTCAAGAGTGAAGAGGATGGCACGTTCATTGTCAAGTTGATGCTGGAGCAGGTAAAATGGTAATCGTCGCTCCACGTCAGCAGAGTTGTGAACTGTGTATATCTTTTTATCTTTTGCTCTTCAATTTTTAGCCATAGTCGTAGTTCTGGAGTTCTCATTGAACCTCCAAAGGTTCAGGGCTAATTTAATGTAGATCTATCTGTGAACTTTGTTCAAAGAGATGTGAACTGTGTTTATTTTGCCGTTGTTCAAGAAATAGTAAAGGTGCAAATTCAATTATGTTCACTCAATTTTCCTTGCCGGGAAACAGAGAGTTAGACACTTAGAGAAGTCACGAGCTGATGACAATCTCTTGCTGATTGGGGTTAGGGAAATGGAGTGCTCTATCGCCTTAGGTTTAGATTGAGCCCTCTAGGTTGAGTGAGTCCGTGAATCACTGGACTTGGCACTATGAATCCTTGGGCTAGGGGAATTGGTCAGTTGCAACATGAGATTTGGTATTTCGGCGAGCTTACATTTATGGTTGGGTGTGGGATTCAGTTTGTTTGGTCAGTTGTTCAGTTCAGTTAATTCCTAACCGAACACCAAGTTTAGCTTAGGGGTTTCAATTTTCAAAAAGATGAACATTTAAATTTGGTTTGATCTATTCAGAATTCAATTAAATCTGGGTTTACCAAACCGGATGCTAACCACTAGCCATTGATATGCAATCCAACTTTCCGCAACTGGCCATCGCCCAGCGAAAAAAAAATAAAAAAACTGGCCATCGCCCATTCTGAACAATGTTAACCAAGGTTGTCAACCCGCGGGTCAGCCCGCGGGTCGACCCGGGTTAACCCGGACCCGGTAACAAAAACGGGCGCTACAAACCCAATTAAGAAATAGCCCGGTGGAGTCAAACCCGGCTTTAACCGGTCAAAACCCGGCAAACCCGGGCGGGTCTACCCGCGGGCCGCAGCACTGGTTCCCGGGTTTGTACAAATAACAATCAGACTCATTTAATCATTTATCAATTCTCGGTCCACAAGAAAGTGGAGGATACGAGGGGTCTCATCCCATCCGTGGCTTTGATTATTTCAACTTTCAAGGATTAATTTTAATTTTGGCTTCATAATAAATTAAAATGCACAAGAAAGTGGAGGATCAGGATACCATACGAGGGGTCTCATCTCTCATCCCATCCGTGGCTTTGACTATTTCAACTTTCAAGGATTAATTTTAATTTTGGCTTCATAATAAATTAAAATGCAGTGGCTTTCCAAATTCCAACTTCCCTTCTTCTTGTAATGTTTAATTAATTAATCATTTTATTGTGCTCGTATATATAAGCCAATTAATTATTTCAAGTTATAATTTTGAATATTGGTGTCATATGGTTAACTTAAATGTATTAAATTTGTTATTATATATTGATTTAAGTACTAACTATTATTTTGATGTAATGCTATATATTATTTGTTTATATATATTTGATATAATTTATATATGTATGAGTAATATAATGATTATTAATATAATAATTTATATATGTTATTTTTTCATATATTATGTGATGGATTTAAGTTTTGTTGAATTTTTATTATGTTGAATTTAAGTTGATGTTATTTAAGTGTGTTGGAGTTTAAGTAGTGTTGTATTTTTTTCTATGTTGGATTCAGGATAAGTACAATGTAATGACTCTTTTCATATTTTCGGACTAATCCGGGCTAATCCGGGCTAAAATGGGTGACCCATTAACCCATGACCCACTAGCTCGTCCGGGTCCGGGTCGACCCGCGGGTTGACAACCTTGATGTTAACTCAGCTTTTTATGGGTACTTGTGCTGATACAATTCTTCGAAATATTTTTCATGAATCAAATAAGATAAACGCTGAGGAAGAGAAGTGCCTGGACAGAAATATTTCCTTATCCACTTGTTCCTTGTTAACAAAATATACCAGCCACTTATCATGGCATTTGAAAAATACTCCCCAACCCTGTTTTCTTTTTGTGCCCACCACCTACTCAGGTCAGGGGCAGCGAAGCAATTTTTATGGCTGAAGCTATGATGGGATTCTCAATGAGTACCAGTTCAAGTCCAGGCTTCTCATCGGTAACCCACATTTATAGGCGAAATGCTTGCAGCTTCTCAACTAGAAGATATATGTTACAGCTTCTTTTACTTTTTATGCAGCTACGGCAAAGAGGGTCATCGTACGGGAATCATGTTCCCGTTGGGGCGTGGCAACAGGTTCAGGTAGAGAGATTGCATTAGTTAATCAATCAAGTTAGCGGCAGTTTGTTTGTGGGTTGTTTTTCCTTTACCCCTCTGGATAATGTTTACTGGCGTAGCTTGAGGGGGGCGGCAATGGTGTTTACCAGAGAAAGAATTGCGGCGGATTGAGCAGGAGAGTGAGGGTGAATGCTGTTCCAGCCGGGGATCAGTTTCATCTGATGGCAGTTCTGGTGCAGCACATGGAAGGCCAGAGAGACCTCATCACTGTGAAATCCATATGGCATCTCAGCGATCAGGCCATCAAGAACGTCTGTAAGTTTCCACCATCTTGTTTCCATCCATATCATAATTCGACCGCTGATGGATGGCGATGTGTGTAATGGATGGGGTAATTTGTTTAGATATGTTCTACATCATGTTCTTCTGCTGGGGATGCTTGTTCTTTGGTTCAACCAAGGTAACCCACCATCTCCTTCATTCCCAAGAATTTGAGTGACTTTATCTTCTGAATGGGGTGTTGGTGGAATATCTTGGAATTTGAGGTTATCTTGTGATGGGGTATCAGGATCCCTATTATGATTCAGAGGCATATAGGAAGGATGGAGGAGATGGGACTGGACATTGGGTGTATGAGAAGGTAACCGTTTCAGTACTACCAATCACTTGCAAAATTGGGAAAATAGTTTTCCCAAAATTGGGAATATTTTTGGGTGATGTTTTCCTTTGTTATTTTTGTGGAACACACAGCAAGAGGATATCGAAGAAGCAGCACGAGCAGCACTGTGGAGGGAAGAGTTGATTGAGGAAATTGAGCAGAAGGTTGATGGGCTGCCGGAGTTGGAAGAAGCCACCACCAAGAAATAGTCATGCACTCTTCTCTATCTTTGCAAATTGCCCAACCTCTCGGTTCTTGCTGTATACGTCTATGTTCTATGCTCTGCTCTTCTCCTTCCACCCTTCATAGCGTGTGTAACATATACTAATAATTGGCTCGTGTTTGGTGGTAGTTGATGTATATGTTAATTAAAAGCGAAGTTTACCTAAAGATGTATATGTTAATTAAAAGCGAAGAGCACTTTGTTTTAAATGAAGGTTGATGATATTAAAGAACAAAATAAAATTTTCAATAATCGTTGACCTCTGGAAATGAATAATTTTCAATTGAAATTTTTTTTCAAACCTCTAGATAAGCATTACAAAATCTGTAATAACAAAGTCAAAAATTGGTGGTCGTCCAATCCCTATTGAACCAACGGTAATGATATTTACCATACAGTTAGGTGCTAAGTCATTGTGTGTGTGCAATCTTCTATATATAATGAAATTTAAACTTGGACAACGAACATACCATATTCGACTTGGCTAGAACAAAACCTACTAGTGAAATAGAACATGAAGTTCTTGTGCGAGTGCGTGTGAAATAGTGGCTAGGCTACCCAGATTAGTTCTGGATTTTCAAGTTCTGTTTGGGCTAATATTGCTAAGGAATATCATCTTTTCTAAGGAATATCATCTTTTCTGGAAATATACTCAGATTGAACCAGGAAGTGGAGGCCATATCTCTTTCTGGTACGATAACTGGGCTGTGAACTCGATTCTCGCTGTTGACTACCCAAGAGTTGCTGCTGCTGCTATCGAACCTGCTGCTCGGATCACAGACATTGCCTCCTTCACTGATACTGAGGTAACCTGGAACCTTAATTTGAGAGTTAGATTGAGAGGGGGAGCAGAGAGAGAAAGAGAAAGGCTTTTGATCTATTTAAATTATGGAAATGTGCATTTTGCTCCTAACAACCCTTGCAGGATCATTTGGATACCAAAACCAGAAGATGGTTTCTCCGTAAGCTCAGCCTATCATGAGCTTACAAATGAGAATTCCCACGGCTTCCAAGACTTTGATGCATCAACTATTTGGAAGCCCTTCATCCCTAGAAAAATTTGTTTCCTTATGTGGACTCTTTGGCTTAAAAAAGATCTACACGATGGATGTTATTAAGAGAAGAGGAACACAGCTTGCAAACCGATGCACTCTTTGCTATAATGAAGAGGAAAACGCAGATCATCTCTTCACCAGATGCGAGTACATTCAAGACGCTTGGAATATTATCAAGAGTAAAAAGAACTTCATTGGCGATTTGCAAGGAGATGTTTCTTTTGCCATTGGCAATAGACCCTCCTTGTCGCCCAGCAGCATTGATGAGTGGTTCAATGTCAGTATTCTTCATGCAATATTCTGGTCAGTTTGGTTACAGAGGAATCAGAGGTTATTCAAAAATACTGGTTCTACTGCCATGATCATTGCTAGGAAATTAGTCAGGATGGTTGTATATTGGCTCACTGCTAATCATAAGATCGACAAAGAGCAAGCTGCTTCTTGGCTTGCTGAGTTTCTACCTTAATTTTTTAGTTTTAGCTGTCTGTTTTATGTTTTTCAGCTGGGACAGTTCAGTCCGTCTAGCTGTCTCTTCTTTCTTCCTCGGCAGGAACTGTTTCCAGTCCGTTAAGCCTTTTTTGCTTCTTTGTAATTCTTCTTTTTCTCGTTTCTATGTGTACTGTGTGGGATTCTGGTTCTTTCCTCTTGAACTTGTTCCCCCCTTTTTCGTTGTATTTCTTCTTTTTTTGTCTTTCATTAATAAATTTTGCCATTATAAAAAAAAAATAGTGGCTAGACTAATTTTGCTACTTTAATTCATTAGTAATGAATATTACTTGGGCGGTGGTTAGTTAGGGATAATCTAATGTTACTAGACATAGTAAATCTCATTACGGAATGAGAGCAATAGTTATTCCATGTAATCATATGCCCATGTTCATATTAAACTCTTCCCTCATCATTAAGATTATGAAATAAGTTCAAAATCAATTTTAAGATAATTTAAGAATTAAATACCCTAATATTTTTATGACATATATGATACATGTGATTATCTGATCACATGTTATCTATGAGACATATTTGCTCATATACTCAAAGTTTTAAATAACATATGAGGTGAGATATACAATTTAATAAACCTATGAATAATCAACAAGCCAACTCATAAGATATAGATCTGTTTTGTCATAAGTCAGTAGTAGAGTTGGCTCACCAGTCACAATATTGAGACATCAAATGAGCTCAAAATGAGATAGTTCACGAGTTGACTTCAACAAGCCTCCTATTCGAGGTGGCTCATGAGCTGAACAAGACTGAGTTCAATCTCGGCTGTTAATAGACGAGTCGAGCTTTTCCAGAATTGAATGAGCTTTTCTCGAATTGAATGTTAAGCCGCTCCTGAACAACTTGGTTCATTAGCAGCTCTACTTGGAAAGTCACTAACCATAGCTAGGGGTGGAAGTTTGGTATTAGTATTTGGAATACTCCAAATACCAGACCGAAATTTTCATTATTTAGCATTTTTTGATTACTTAGTTAATTTTTTTGGGTTTGTGATTGATAATATTTTTAGTAGTATTCACAATCCGAGATATGCGATCGGAATTGATATATACCAAGATATCGAGTAATACCAAAAATTTAAACATGATGCAATGAATCTCCCTTTAACTCCGTGAGCCTCAACTCCCTCTAAAATAAATAAAGGTCATGGTTTCCCTTTAAACAAAATTTATAGTTGACTTAAAAATAACTTATTTTTATGCTCATGATGAATTATCTTAGAAGAATGAATTGCTTAGTTGTATTGATGAATAACTATAGTGATACTTAATTGAAATTTAGAGGAATATGAGTAATTGATTCGAGCCATTCTTTACATGTTCATGCCCATTTATATGGTTGTCTGGCTTGTTCAACATCGTCCTTGAAGCTATTTTACGCTAGGGTTTGCAATATTTTACTATATTTCATGCCTCAACAGGTGAAATAGGCGAAAGGATCAAAATTCGGACGAAATGGATCAGAAAGGGAGCAAAATAAGAAAACTGCACATATCACTACTTGGAGGGGATTATCACAAGCAACAAACTGTGAAGCTCGCAGAATTCCAAGAGCTTTCGTGTGCCTCGCGGGTAGTGCAAGGATCACGTCAGACCATGAAGTGTGTTAATGAATTGGTGCATTTTGTGATGAGATTACGGTTTTGTTGCACACCTTCGATTAATTTAAGATCAAAATAGCATTTTTTTAGGTGACTGTTAAAAAAAATCCAACCTGAGCCATCACATTATTTAATTTATAAATGTCAGGAAACAACATCCAAATCATTCTTATCAATTTTCCAATTAAATATGACACGACCCGATCCTTTTTGAAAACCAAACCACAACTCAAACGACAGACCGGTTACTCCGGAGCAACCCAAAACAGGTTTACAAGTCAAAACCAAAACCAACAACCACAATGTTTAAGATTTTCAAGTGAAATGCCCTAAACACTTGGGCGACCTCGACCCAGAGCAACAAAACATAAACACAACCCTTGAGTTTCCCCAGTATACTCATTAAGACATGAAACTAAAGACAAATTTAATGGGAGGTCCCATCTCGTTACCCAAATCCAGCTGACATCTTCAGGTTAGCCGCGGCTGCTCTCCTCGGGTAATCTCCTCTTAATGGATGCGTCCTCTTCCCCTCTATGCACCTGGTGAGGGAGAAGGGGTCAGTCTCGCTTTCTGCTCTTAAATAATCATCCTCATCGACTCATTTAACATTAACTCCTAAGAGTGCTCCCTTCTACCCTTAACTCAAACACAAAACACTAGGACCACCGCGTTACGTCTCGTCGTCCGGTGTCCTACCCTAGTATGCCAATCGCGTTACGTCTCGCCGTCCAGTTGCATACCCAAACTCGGCAATGACACTGCGTTACGTCTCGCCGTCCAGTCCATGCCCGTCAACTACTGCGTTACGTCTCGCCGTTAAGTAGTGACCCAACCGCCCGGGGGTTCCTCATACCATCAATCCATACAACATCACATACATTCATACATAGCACAACGCGTGCCTCCACCCTTACAGGCGGTGGGATGCCTCACACACATATCGCGCATTACTCAAAAATTAACTAATTAATAACTTGAACGAAAAGCATAAACCAAAAGACCTACGACAGAGATTTTACCCCCTTTACACTCACCTCGAAAAGATGCCTCCTCAATTCCTTCCTCGAAGAAACCCCCTCCTTAGCCGGATTATCCTGGGGAAACATATTAATAAGAATCCATTTTCTTAGACGACTTTTCTTGATTTAAAACCACTTTTGAATCACTAGACCATCCTTTCCTCAAACTCCAGTCCTTGAACCTGATTCCAAGGGTCCTTTAACCCTCATTAAAATTTTCTAGAATTAATCCCTTCAAAAACGACCATTTTTCTTAATTATTTTTATCTTGGGCGAATTTTTCACCTAACTAGAACCTTCATTAAAATTCGGATAATAATTTTCCCATGCCAATCATGAGCCCCTATACCCTGGAAAATTATCAAACCCTTAAAAATCCCTCGGAAAGATTATTATTTAATTAAAACAAATATTCGAACAATTTCTAAAAATAGAAATACATCTTCAAATATTCCCAATTAAATTACAATAAAATATTCCCTTTTCTGAGATTTCTGGATTGGGTGTCCATTCTGCTCTACTATAGTAGATCAATGTAGTCAAAAGCGCGTTTCTACGTAGAAACGTTTTGGTGATTTAGAAGCGTAAAACCGTAAGTTTTTAAGCTTTGAAGCGTAGTTTTTAACTACATTAGTGATAAAAATTGAGATTATGCGTAAAAGCATTTTGGTGAGCTAGAAGCGTCGTAAGTTTTTAAGTTTTAAAGCGCAATTTTGACTACATTGTTCGTGATGTCTTTTTTGCGCGGACATTAAATACATCTCTGACATGTCCAACGTAACAACCTTTGGCCTTTGTCACTGTTTTTCCTTGGGACCATATTGACACCGTTAGGTTGGGTCAATTAGTCCGAGTCACTTTTGGAGTCAAAAGCCCCACCCCCAAAGCACAATAATGGCAATCACTCTCCCCCTGTGTAGCAGAACACCTCAAATGTTAATTACTTCGCTTACTCATGGGTAATTCAACAAATTTTAAATATAATTTTAAAGTAACCAGTGTAAAGGATAAAGTAACGGGCAACTCATTTGGTGGCTAAAACGGTCATTTTTTTTGTTTCCTGCAG